CTTGACCTCTTCTGCCTCAATTCCCACAGGTGGGTGATCACAACTGCTAGCAGGATTGATTTCACGAGCTCCTAGCTGGTCTTGTGTAGGTGACCTAGCCACTCAATTAAGGTCACGCAGGCTGTTGCTACCTATTTTACCTGCCCCTGTGCCTTTGGTCCTCTGCCTGAAAGTCAGAAACAATCAGAAGAATTTGATTTAATAGCTGGCCACACATGTAATTTTGTTAAGTCCAGTGACTATTAGTGGGCCTTTTCCCAGTGGCTTTTCCCAGTGGCTGGAAGCCCCTTGAGGTCAAAGCCTGCGTAGATCTTATTTACTCCCACACCTACCCCAATGTCTGGAACATTCTGGTGCCCAATTCTTATTAGTGAATGAATCAAGGAGGTGAGAAAACAGAAAAGGGAGTAGCAGTATTCCTCTGCAAACTCCTTTGGGGAGGAGATTTTTATGTAGGTAAGTCATTTTTGTCTGATCTCATGTTCTAAAAACATTCCCCTAAGCCTACAATTAAGAAAATATGTGACTGTTTTATTCTCAGCCACTTGTCACTCAAACGGTACTCAGAGCCTAATGGAGCCAGTGGTAACCTGCAGACACAGCTGCAGCTCTTTTACCAGTGTCACTCATGGTCTGTGAATGTCCTCGAATAACTAGACAGAACATCTCTTCAGAACTGGTTGGTCAATAAGATAATTGAGGAAAACCAAAATTGCTATAGATTATCCATGAAAGGCCCTCGACAGAGACTTGTGCATAGATCTGAAATGTCTGTAGCCAGCCCCCATTCATCTGTCTGTGCACAAAGGACAAAAGCAATCATGGGAGCATTTGGTTAATAGCACTACAGGTCTGACACCTGCAGGGACCTGGGAATTGTGTAAATGATATGAAAGGCCTCCCAGCAGGAGATGCTCAAGAAGTGTGTAGACATCTAATGAAAACATTTCCTTTACTTAGACTGTCTAAACACACAGCCGGGATTTCTGATCGATTAGTGGTTCTAATCTCTGTCTGGGCTGACTTTGGAAACGTTAAAGGCTAGAAAACGACCTCCAGGAAAGAATGAACAATGGAAACATTAAAATAGAAGCTCAATTTCACAAGTGCTAACTGGGCATCTGCCATGTGGTCAGCATTGCAGAACTATGTGAAAGGAGATCCAAGGATGAATGAGACAAGCAAGGAGCTTACAGGCTGGTTGTAGGGCGAAGAACAGTGCATCTCTCCTGTGCGCAGCTGAAAGGAATTTCATCGCACACATCAATAGCATGCTTTATGCTTAATTCAACATCGCCTTTAACTTCATCACATCCTTGGGAGAGGTAAAGCAGAGACAGTTGTTCTCATTTTCAGAAGAGGAAGCTAACACCCAAAGAGGCCGAGAGACCAGCTTGGGGCCCCATAGGAGCTACAGTGGCAGAGCTGGAGAAAGAACACTGGTCCCCTGGCTCTGGGCTGCCGCTCCCTCTGCGGATCTATAGACAAGGCACATGGCAGAAACCCAGCTTGGGCCTGTGGCTTCACTTTCAACTGAAAGGCAACAAATGACTGAGAATGTGTAACAAAATGAGGAGCAATAGGCCAGAAAGTATTCACATATGAAGATTTTTAGAACCCTTTAAAAAGGGGGCATCAGAAGCCTCCCAAAATATTAACTAAAGAAAAAACTAGAAGGCTCTAGAAGAAATGCTCTCCTAGCACCACATGGGGGTAGAATTAGGAGGTGGTATCCTGGGGCACTCTTACTTCTCTGGAGAACCAACCCCTACCCCCATACTTCTGCTTCTAGAAATCGAAGTGGCCTCCCTGGGTAGTTTACCGTGTGAGAAAAAATGTAATTGTTACCATGCTTGGCTGTAGTTTTGAGATGAGTTCAACTTCCTACTCATTTTTTAAAAGCTACTGATTCAACATAATCAGGTTGCCACGATACTGATATATTCTTCCTGAAATGGACTCAACTAGTAAAAAGTGAATCAGATAATTAAAAATCATCTTATCCAAGCCCTTCACTTTATGATGTGAAAACCAAAGACAATAAGGGTGAGGGTGCGTTGACAGTCGGATTATAGCGTAGGTTTTCAGACCAGCAGTCCCAACTATAGTTAGATGCTGCCTTGGGAGAGTAAAGGCCTACAGATAAACTTGGATAAAGATACCAAGATAGGCTGTTGCTCTTTTTGAGGGGGCGTGGGGGGACAGAGTTTTGCTCTTGTTGCCCAGGCTGCAGTGTGATGGCGTGGTCTTGGCTCACTGCAACCTCCATCTCCCGAGTTTAAGCAATTCTCCTGCCTCAGCCTCCTGAGTAGCTAGATTACAGGTGCCCGCCACCATGTTCAGCTACTTTTTATATTTTTAGTAGAAACGGGGTTTTCCCATGTTCACCAGGCTGCTCTTAAACTCCTGACCTCAGGTGATCTGTCCCCCTCGGCCTCCCAAAGTGCTGGCATTACAGGCGTGAGCCACTGCTTCCGGCCCTACTCTTTCTTTAAGCACCATAACAGTCAGCTTGCTTAGGCTCCATAAAGCCAGGGCCACCTTCACGTGTTCTGAATGAAATGGCTCGGGCTAGGCCCACAGGTGGTGAGAAGAGGCACACAATGAGGCCCCAGGACCACGAACTGAGAGCCGCTCTGTCTGAACCATTTACCAATCCATCACCAAGGGCCTGCCTTGACTTGCTCAGACTGCCCATTGCGGAGGACAAATGATGACCAGGCAGCCATAAGTGAGTCAGTAAAAGGAAGAAAGGGAACCTGGACACTCAAGCCAGCAAAAAAGAAAAAAAATGCCCTGAAGCAATTCCCAATAAGTGGACATTTCACAGAAATGTCCTACCCGTGGTCATGTGCTCATACAGAGGATGAGGAAGGTGACAGGAGATGCACATGACAAGGTTACACCAGGACATGGATAACCAACCACAGTCCCTGAGGCCCACTCACACACACAGGGGAGGTAAGGAAAGACTTCGTGGGAAGACTTCCTTGGGCACATGAGTGAATGAAATAGCCAGGGTCTGTATTTTACACAATGGTAAGGTCGGAAGAGAAGACTGGATCCTTGAGCTGTTTATATCACTCACCTATGCCTCTGCTGGAGGGAGAGTCTGAGGAGCTAGGATCCTTCTAACTGGAACTGGAGTGGACGTGCTGGCTCATGTAGAAGCACAGCTGCAGTCACTCAGGTCGCAAAGCATCTGAAATGCCTAAACAATTCAGCTGCCAAATCAGGTGGCGAACTTTACTGTATAACTCTTTATTGTAAACGAGGGCTTCCGTACATGAATCTCTCCCATCTAGGAATTTTCTTTACCAAAAATAAAAAACACTCGGCATACTGTCATTCGCTTTGGGGTATTTTTGTAGCAACTGTAAAAATTTTATGTGAATTGGGAGGGATTACTATTTGAGATAATTAGAAAAAGAGGGCCCTGGGGATTGAGAAAAGGGAAGTCAGGTGGATAGGGAAGCAAGGCTGGAGGGCTTTGGGGAGAAGATTTGGAAGGGAGGAGCGGAGCTGAGGCCAGGTGAGAGGACCAGCTCGGCCTTGTCTGTGGAAGCTGCTTTGCATCTTAGAAGCCACTGTGGGCCCCAGGAATTAAATGTCCAGCTTCTTGAGTAAAAAAATCAGAGAAGAATAAGATGGACCATCAGACAGTGGAAAAGTTGTAAATGCTAAAATTCGTGATAGTGTTTTATCTGCAGTGAGGCAAAATGGATTTACCAGTAGCTCACTGAGACTACAGGGAAGAGACTAGACATTTCTCATGAGCTAAGATGGTTCTTGGAATTTGACTCGTATAGGATTAAAAAACTTTTTTTATTTATTTAAGATGTATGTAAGATGGAATTTTTACATTCTTTAGTATGCTATCTTTATTTTAATTAATATTTAAGAATTTTTATGGGCTTACTTGTGGTGAGGCTTAAATTCTACTTTTCCTAATTAGTAAATTCTCTTACCACAGGGATTTCAGGAGCCTGCCCGCATGATGACCCTATTGAATAGACTGTCATTACCAACGACGACACAGCAGACACGCGACGGCCTCTGAGAATATATAGGCAAAAACTGCAATTACTTTTGCACCAACCTAATAATAAAGACCTGGGAATACCTTCTCTTTTTCTGTTATAACACATGAGCCTCATTAGTGGACTGACAATTTAATTATATTTCTTTTAATATATGCTTCACGTGCTCTGCTCTGAGCCATGCAGGGCCCCATTCTCTCTCTCAAACGCTCCTCGCAGGGTGCTAGGCAGGTGCGTGTACAGGAGGGACTGCCTGGCATGTGGCAGTGGGTAAGAAAAGCACTATGTGTGCATCACACCAGGGGAACACAGTGGCGCCTGATTTGTTTTGCAAAAGGCAAATAAATTCTACAAACTTGCACTGAAAACGCATAAACAGATCACAATTGGGTGTCCTGTCAGTGTAACGCAATTTAAAAACAGCATTGGGAACCAATACATCAAAGGGCATGAGGCAAAATATCTCCAGAATGCACTCCCTGACCGGATCCCAGAGTGTTATTGACCTCCAGGGGACACCTGCTGTCTGCCTCTGGGGCACTGTGGTGCTTGCCTCTAGTTGGGTGGGGGGCAGGGGTGCCTACAGCTGGCAGCTTCTCAAGCATAGCTCCACTTAGAGAGAAGACCCTGTGAAAGGTGCTCCCAGGGTAGGTGGTACAGTACAGTGGCCTTTCTATGGCTCAGGTGCCCATGGGCAAGGGCTGTTTCCTCAGAAGAGGCAGGGACAGGGGAGCCCCGTTTCACCGTGTCATGTCATTTGCAGATCTGAAACAGTGGATGTTGGCAAGACACGTGTGTCTGCTTTCATCTGTATGCCTAGCCTATTTCTTCCCTTCCTAAGTTCCAGTGTCAAGGTTTAAACTCAACTCCAAAGAATCGGGAGGTGTCTTACATGTGTCACGACTTAAAAAGGTGATTTTTAAAAATTCCTGACAGTAATCAACGAGGGCCCTGACTTACCTGTGCATGCTTTGAGACCCAGTGACGGAGGACATTCAGCACTCGATTGGTAGCCGTTCTCCGTATGATGAACTCTTTATCACACGTTCTCTCCGTGTTGTTAAAGCCTTAGGAGGAAAAGAAACACACATGGGTTGCAGTTAAAGCCACTCCCCAGGGACCCGGAAAAGGTCATATATTTTAGGACACTGGTTAATGAAACTCACAGATGACACTTCTTCGCAGAGAGGTGTGAGTGCTTCAGACGGCTGTGAATTCTGCTCACCTATTACACTCTCAGCAGTGAGGCCCCCATGCAGTCACAGGTGCAATTAAATGAACAATGCACACATATTTCTTAAAGGCCACTGATTAAAGCTAAAGCTGCTCTCCTGACACTTCCATTTATGTCTGTCTTGCTCTATAATACAAAGCCAAGAAGCATTTTTTTTTCTTTTTCTTTTTCTTTTTTTACTGCCACCCTTTACACACAATCACGAAGGAATTTTAACCAAGTATTTGAGTAGGCATTAATTTATACTTTGCCTCAAAGTAACTGCACGATCAATAACATTTTCAATATCTGTAGATGGACGAGCCCGTATCTTGGCTCATGGATGATTCAAATACTTTACTTTGCAGCTCTATACTGAGAAACAGTATAGCATGACTGCTAAGAATGTGTACTTAAAAAATATTACAAGAGTAGATTTTCACCACACACATACATGCAAATAGTTAATATGTGAGGTGATAGATTTGTTAGTTTGGTTTGATCATTCCATGACATAAACATATATCAAAGCATCACATTGTACTCCATAAGAAAATAATATCTACAATTATTATTTGTCAGTTAAAAAGGAAATTTTTAAAAACCCCATGGATTCCACAACCTGACTGCCTGCTCTCAAATCACTGTTCTCCCACCCTGGCAAGTTGGGTTGTCTCTCTGGTTTCCCACGTTCCTCAAGAGACAGTAATCATACCTACCTCAGAGAGGTTTTGTGGGATTCAGACTTATAATACATGTTAAACATTTGTAATGGCACCTAGCACAGCAGTTGAGACTGCAATAAATGTTAGCTATGATCACAATTCAATCTTGGTTCAGTGCCTTTGAGTCTTCTCTGTGCTGGCTGATGTCTCTATCTTGGTTACCTTTTCGTTATCAATAAACCATTTTAATATTTTTCCACTGACATCCTGTTTTAAAAGATTCTGCCTTCCAATCACAATGAAATCAAATTTCCTTTAAACATCCATTAAAGCCTTATATAACTTCAGTGGCAAACTTCTTGAAAGAGTTGTCTATACTCACTGATTTCGTTTCCTCACTTCCTATTCTCTTACATCCTACTCCAAGTTTTTCATCCCATTTCAGCAACAAATCAGCTCCCATCTAAAGTCATATCAATAACCTTTGTGTTCCTACATCCAGGGGACAGCCTATCTCTCCATAGGAAATCTCATCTAGGCCTACCACTTAAATGATTACCTACAAGCAGATTAGTCATATATTTCTATCTCCAGATCTCTTCTGAGTTCCAGATCCATATACACAATATCCAATTGTCTCTTTCTATTTTCCTGTTATATATATGTTTCAAACACGCCTCAAACTTGATTTAAAAAATCCATGACCTTTACACCAAACTTTGTCTTCTTCTAGTGTTCCCTATCTCAGTAAAGAAATACTATCCTCTCTCCAGTTATGTAAGCCTGAAACTTTGGAATTATTCCTGTCCTATCTTTCTGCTGTTTCCTAATAATTTTATCTGCTACATAAATCTCAGATCTGTCCCATGTCTTCCCAACTACACAGTCAAAATGGGGGATGAGCTACCCGCAACTCTGTCTACTGTAACAGCCTCCCAACTGGTCTCTACTCTCACTCTTGCCTCCCCAAATTTGTTTCCTCACTGAAGTCAGAAAGATCTTTTAGGATCTTAGAAAGAAAATTAGGATGTGTTGTTCTGGCATTTAAAGCTCTTTAGACGGCTCTTGGGATAAATACTAAACTCCTTAACACAAACTACAAGGTCTTTGGTGATTTCTGCCTAGCTCCTCTCAGCCTTTTCTGAAACCATATTTTTCTATTCTTCTTCCATGTCACCATACATCTTTTTTCATTCATCCTCACCCCAGGGCCTTTGAACATACTGCTCCATTATCTGGAATAATTATCAGTCCTCTTTTAACTTAGTGAGAGCCACTCTTGTTTCCAAATTCACTTCTTCAAATGAGCACTTTCCAGCCCGAACTGGGCAAAGTCCCTGTTACATATCTCACAGCACCACACACATCTACTTTATGGCACTTAGTACATTTGCAATTTTATACTTATTGATGTGATTATCTGATTAATATTTGTGTCCTCCATGAAGACAGGGGTCTAGTATGATCTTGCTGGGCACGAGCACCTGTGTGGCACATAGCAGATGCTGTACACAATATGTATTTGCAGAAAATAAAGCCTAGATAGTAGGAACTAAGTTTTATTGAATGATCTATGATTGTAAGGATAATTGAGTGAATGACTGAAAGAATAATTCTCGGAGCTTATGAGTGAGTTAAGAGAAAAAAAAATCTAAAAGTTTCTAAAGGCCAGAGGCCCCTTCTCCGTACTCCTCTTTGAATGTAGACAGCATCTTCCACCCACCAGTAGACATTTTAATTCTGTCAGAGGATGGTGACGATGTGTTCTTGGCAGAGGAAGTATCTTGGGAAAAAAAATCTTTTGTTATTAAAAACGTAGAAATTCTATCACTTCTCAGCCTTTTGGCAAAGATCAAGTGTAAAAACGTAGAAATTCTGAGTAAAATATAACAAATATCCTTCTAAATGCATAGCTGAGCTCTCAAGAAAGTAAGGAATTTTCCATGGTCAAATACACAGAGGGATGTGAAAAGCAGAACAAGTCTCTGAACTGGCGCTGGATGTCCTGAGGGGAGGGACGGCGGTCAGTATCATGGTGTTCAGATCATAACATCCACATGGTTCAGGAGAAGAAGCCTAGGGCCTTCATGAAGTCGGGATGGGGAGATGGGAACTGAGACTCCCACATAAACCTGGAACTCTCAAAGGATGATCGCTCAGTAAATGAGTGTAACAGGGAAAAATTTTCCTACCTACAAAAGGAGACTACTAAGAAACTTGTCTGCCTCTGCCTCAGTGGCGTCAGGGGAGAGGGTAGAAATGTCCTCCTCAAGAACAGATCATCGCAGCCCACCTCCTGCAGGCTGGAGGCTCAGGTTGAACCACTATTGTGTGGTCTACCCATCGAAGGAGAAGTTAAAATAAAAAGTGGCCTAGGCCAGTGATAACCCTGAGGACCCCAACAAAAGCACGTGAAAAACCTCTGTAGAGGAACACACACCTCAGCCTGGATCACCATGGAAAAAGCCCCTGAAGAATAGCTCACAAACCAAAATTACAAAACACACACACTGTCCACATAAGCAAGGATCAATAGGCATAGCAATCAGGAAGCTGATGATCCCCATTCCACCCTTCCATCACCACTACCAAGAATTTCAGGTATAAGAACTATTAGCTAGCTTTAATCTAAACATATGGTATGTATTCCACATGTGCAATATTAATACAATAGATTCTCCTGGATTATGGAGAATTGGGTTGTGCTGTGCATGTGAAAGATGTCTAAAGCCCCCAAAACATTTGTTATTTGCTTTTCCAGAAAATGGCACAAGGACTTCTTGGGGACGGATCTATGATTTTAGGACAGAATGGCTTCCACATCGTTACTGCCACCAATTAGCAGTGTAGACCATATTTAAATTTTAAAAAAAACATTGTCCAAGCAGCTCTACATTTAGGTGGTGGCTTATAAGCAGAAACTCTGGTAAGTTGTAGAAAATTGTTTGCATAGCTTTAAAGACTGTGAAAAGTGGTGAGATGGGCATGTCTGATTAGAAGCATGTTGGCATGGACCTCAATGTCTATGTAAGCAGGAACACATGATCAGCTATTCTTGTCACACATGACAGCACAGTTAAAACAATCACAGCTAATGAGTATACAGCAGCACCTTTAACAAAACTTGATTTATCAAACTGCTACAGGCATGTCTCTTGGAGAGATGACATCTGGTTTGGGGCATTTCTAAATTGCCCCAAAGGACAATTTGGGAGAAATTAGGAATTAAGAATTGGGAATTAAGAATGCCATCTCAGTGATGCACCATTTTTCATTTCATACAAATGGGACATAATCTGTCCAATAGCATCAATGTTGTCAATGTGCTTTGTTTTGCCCAGTAGATATTTTTCTAAAGAACTGTAGGCAAGCCGGGCGCGGTGGCTCAAGCCTGTAATCCTAGCACTTTGGGAGGCCGAGGC